AGAGAGAGAGAGAGAGAGAATATCCAAGTACGAAACCGTCCGTTCGCGCGGCGGATTATTTTTCCTACTTCTCCTAATTGTCGGAGCATCGGAGAAGCGAGTTAGTTCGGCGAGAGGAGAGAAGTTTCGAGAACCCTTTCGAGGCGACAATCGGAATCTCGTAGCCCACTTAGGCGGTGAAATGTCGCGTGGATATAGCCAGGAGAAGGTTCGTTGTCCGCGTGCCCGTCTCCAGCAAACTTAGAACAGTCATTAGCGCCCGGGGCCGCTGATATTTGCTCTCTGGTTGGTGGCGCGTTCCGATACGTCGGCCGCGTGCATCAACCCCCGCGATTCCTCGATGGGTAGGGCTCGGAAGGAAGGAAGGAAGCCCACGTGACGAACGCTCAGTTTCCTTCCAGTATCGTGATATTCGCTTGGGAGGTGGACGATGGTGGGGATAAATTGGAGAGAGGGGGGGAGAGGTTGGGTAGAGGCGAAGCGATCGAGCGATTTAAAAATTTTTGTTCGTCGACTTTAATTTTTGATCGTGGAAACGAGAGGGATTTTTCGGGGGATTGAAAATTATTAGATTCGCGTGGGATTCGTTTTATAATTATTGCTTCGATCGAAGGAATAAATTGATTTATATTTAGTCTTGGATTGTAATAGGATTTTTCTTACGATATGGAAAATAAACATTAAGTAAGTTGGAAAAAACTAATCGAGATCCATAAAATTTGAAGGATTTTATTATCTTTGAATATTTAGTGTTGTTATTCGTTGTAAAAATTCTATTATAATTTTTAAGACTGTGATATATTGCGTAATAAATATTTCTAAATTTCTTTCTTTGGTAATTATTTATTGAACAAAATAATTGTAAAAGAGTAATGAATTTGTAACTTTGATTCAATTGATTATTAATTAATTTAAAATTAGTTTAAAATCGATATGATCAAGGTATTTCTCTTTTTACCGTAGTGTACGTATTAAAATTGTAAACATGGAAATTTAGGTTATGAGATCGAAAAGTGTCTTACGCTTTGATTTTCGACTTATAAACTAAGAATTATTCGGTAAATGATTCGGTACTTGGTAGATTTAGAGTAAAATTACGTTGAGATTATGAAGATAAGACGATCTTTCGTATTGTATATAGAAAAATGATTTATTTGAACGTGGCAAACGTTTCATGATTCATGAATGAGAATATAAGTGGCTTTCGTGACTGGAATGTATCTTTGAGTGTATTGCAATTTCATCGTGATAAAGTGAAATTGTTGGTTTCTTGTCGTAAATATGGGTTTTCAATGATACTTTGTTGTGGATTATGATAGAATGAATTTTTCTGTTATACAGAAATTTTCTTCGTTTTTTATTATTTTTTTTTTTTTGTTCATTTCTTGATCACAATCATCGTGAATTTAACTTGTCCAAAGATTCTCAAATATAGCATTTAAGTCACCTATGTCTTAACCAGTTGAGGGATAAATCCTTAAGCCCTACTACTAGGCAGCCTAATCTTGTAACAAAACCACTTCCAAAATCCTTAACCATCTCTTTATCCGTCTCCACTTCTAGACACCTGTGAATCCAACTTGTCCAATAACCTCAAAAACCAAACAAGATTTCATCAGTTGAAAGATTTTTTAAAATCTTTTTATCAAGCAATTTAACTATTTAACAAAAGTCTTAATCATCTCTTTATTATTTTATTCTTCTTAATTACCTGTAAATCTAATTTGTACAATAATCTCAAAAACTAAAAAAGATTCTCACATGTAACTTTTAAATATTTTAATAACTTTTAAAGCTACTTTTTCATTCTCTATTCTTAGATACTATATGAATCCAACTTATTTAATAACTTCAAAAACCAAAGAAGATTCTTATAACTTTTAAGATCATTTAGCTCTCTAAACTACTCAACTCTCTAAATTACTCAAGAGATAAACATTTAAGGGTTATCTTTACTATTCACTAAACAATCTAATCATTAAACAAACTATTTCCAAAATTCTTAATCGTTTCTTTTCATTTATTCCTTTCCTATTCTCTAAATTCCTATGAATCCAACTTTTCCAACAATCTGAAAAGAAGAATTACATTTCAAATGTAATTTTTAACCAATAACTATTCCTAATATCAATTAAAGAATAAATTATTTATACAAAATCTCCAAAAATTTTACTTCTTCATTTCTTTTCATTCAACTTTCTATCCAATAACTTCAAAAATCAAAGATTCTCATATGTAACCTTTAAGGCTACCAATAAGCATTTCTAACCATACCAATTGAACCAACTTTTAAAGCTCCCCACATAAACAAAACCATCTTCAAAATCCTTAACCAGTTCTTCATCCTTTTCCACTTCTAAGCACCTGTGAATCCAACTTGTCCAGCAACCTCAAAGAAGATTCCCAACCGACAACAACCAGTTCCGCTAGTCAAAGGGGTTGTCCTCTTTCCGTTTTACTACCGACTTCCAGGCAATTCGTCTTATCTCGTGCAGATATCAGTTATTCGTTGCAAGCGGCAGTTTCCAGTATCAGGAATCGCGAGCCAGAGTTTATGCATATAACGCGTGTCTTCTTATCTACTCTGGAAAAAGAAAGAAAATGAAAGAAAGAAAAAAATAAAGGAGGAAAAAGACAAAGAAGAATAAAGGAGGAAATCCATGTTAGTGTCTATCTTACGTAGAAACGAGGAGTTTGGCTATCGATCGCCGTCCTCCGCTCGTCTTTCCCATTCTTCCTCTTCTACTTCTTCTTCTTCCTTACAAGCCACGCGGATAACACGCAGCGTATGACGTTCGCTTCTTACTGCGGACCTTCGACCCCTCCTTACCTCGATATTTCGAGGGAATATTGCTTTTGGGAGTTTGAGTCGCTCGTTGGAATGCGCCCCTTGGAGGGATGGTGGAGGTTGATGGATTTTGCATTAGGTTATGGAGTGATAGAGATAGATTCTCTCAAGGATGAAGGATTCACGATGATTTAGAATTATGAACGAGTGGACGAGTTTCGCTTCGATTCGTGAATTAAGACGAAGAAGTGGTTTTGAGGTTAGGTGGAAGTTGAAAATTCAATTCTTGAGCCAGCGATTGAAATTTTCAACATGTTTGGCAATCTTCTGATAATAGGATTTGAATTTTTTAAATCTTTTGAATATCTAGGTAGAAAAGAGAAGGTCTTTGAAAGAAATAAAATGGATTTCATTCTTCTTTCAAATAGGTTGGCATTTTAAATTGATGAAAGATGAGATCGAGTTTTAAGGCTTTTGTATGTCTTCTTAACATTTCATGGATCAATTTTATAAAATTCGAAGAGAATCGAAGAATTTTTCGTCCGCTTTTGGTATTTCGATTCGACAGTTCGGGAATACTACGAATCTTCCTTTGGGAAGATTTAGAATGGAATTTCCACAATGGAATCGAGGCGGGCCGATGCGCCACTATTTTTAGCGCTTCGAAAAATCAGTTCCATTGTTTTTTCGCGGGTTTATTGACGCGGAAAGCGGCGGTGGCTAGGGCAGGAAGCTCCGCGGGGAATTGGAACGTGGCAAGAATCAATTTTATCCGGCCTTCTTCCTCGAGTTTCGCGCAATTTGCCGATCGTCCCGCGGGACGTCCCTTGTTAGGCACCACCGCCTCCTGTCGCAGTGTAAATTTTACCCTCGACGATCGAACAATGACAGTTCCCTTCGAAATTTACCATAAATTTTACCTCTTCCGTAACGACATAGAACGTGTTCAAATTTTCCACCAATTTCTACGACAGCGAGAATTTTTCCGAACGAAGAGTCCAAACGTTGCTATTCATCGTCCATCGTCTTATTAATATTATCCGTTTTACGATTTCAATGGATCTCTATAAAATTTTAAATCTCATTTTTGATTGTCCAATGAAAAGCTATACAAGTATCTTCTAATACCTTCGTTTTAACCTCTTTTTTAAGCACATTGCACATATGTTTAGTTCTTTTATGAATTAAAGAGAAAGAGAAAAGAATTAAAAACTCGAAACACTTATAATATTTCATTTTACTCGACAATCACTATTTTGAAACTATTATGTATATGTGTAACGATGTCTTCTTCATACGATGCTTACAGTGTCCCTCGAAGAGGTTAAATTTCTCGTAACTTCATTCACATCGAATTAAATTAAAGATAGGTTAAGTGCCCTTCACTAAAATCTATAGAAAAACTGTACAACTCGATCGTGCGTAAAATCTGATTTGAATATCTCTCGAGATATAAGAAAAAAAAATGGAAGATCTTTCCTTTCGATCGATCGAATCAAAGGAAAAAAGTATACCAATCGAACTGTACGATCGAAACGAAGGATAGAAAGGGAGAGGAATAGCGATCCACGAAGCGAGAGAGCGGGATTGGAGGGAGGGACGCGTCGCGGGAGAGGGCAGAGCGACAGAGCATGGGGAGGGGTGTGGAGCTTTCGGTGGGTGGGGAGAGGGGAAGTTGCGTCGGTTCGAGGGCAAATCTAGTAAGCTAGGACAGAGGCTATTAATAACTGTTTGGGGTGCCGTACCTGGCCGCCGCGCGGTGCCTTCGGCGCGCGTCTAGATACGCGCGTCTCGACGACCGGCGTCTCAGTGTCGTCGCGACGACCGACGTCGTACCCGTCGTTCCGGCGTCGACGTGCTCCTTCTTGCACGGTTGATTCGCGATCAAGCGTAATTCACCGACCATTCTTCGTTCCGACGCGTCTTCGTTCTCTCGCCATCGCCATTTTCGGCCATTTTCTGCCTCGTTGAAATAATTATTGTTAAGAATAAGCAAAAAAACGCGTGGATAAATTATCTAGTCGTATACGTGGTATAAAATCGTTGTATAAAATCGATCGTTGGATCGAAAGGTTCGATATCGATAGTGGATCGAGAAGGGTATAGTGGATTGGCAGACGACCAGAGTGGATCAGTGTCGTTCGAGCGATCGACTCGGTGAAACGATCGACCATCACGGTGGGAGGAGAAACGCGTCTCGGTGATCGGATGCAGACTGATTGGCTCCTTGGAGGAGGATCAGCTGATCGTGTGCTAGCTGGAATATAACGTGTCGATCGTTTTAGTTGTTACAAGGTGGGATCGTTCGTTCTCGAGGTGGTTGGCATCGTTTATTTTATCAAGATTTTTTCCCCCAGTAAGTATTTGGGAGATTGGACGAGCGTCGGTGGCTTTCGAGACATTTGGATTTTAATCGAAAAGAATATTTTTCGGTATGTTCGAATATTTTCGAAATTTTTTTTGTTTAGATTCGATCGTGGCTTATTTTATATGGACAGAGTTGGAACGATAATGCAATCGTGTAGTGACGTAATTGATAGTACAATCTCGAAATCGATTCTTTAAACGTGATTTTGGATATAATTAGGTTAGGTGTTGAGATTATATCGATTGTTTAATCGATTTTCTTTTCGTTTTCTTCTTTTTGAACGGATGATTTCTTTTTTTTTTTTTTTTTTTTTTTAATTCCTTTTTGTTCTCTCTTTTTTATTTTCTTTTTTAACCGACGTTGACGTGGCCAGAGATCGCAGAATAAACGTATTCTACGTCGACTCGTCGCGATAAACAAGCGCAACCGCGCAGAATCCGCGTCGATTTATTACCAACAACTACGCACCAAAACTCGTTTTGCAAATAGAAGTTTCCCGCGACACGTGCACTCGGCAGAGCTCTCTAACTTTTGAAACTCGTTGTATAAAAATCCAGAATTTAAATTAAAAAAACATTTCACATCCAAATGTGATAAATATTTTTAAAAACACACAATAATTTATCAAAATCCAGTTTCAAATCAGTTTCAAATTTCTCTTCGGTAAGATAATAGAAAAAATTCTCAATCTTTCAAAATTAACGATCCATCGTTTTAACACGATTCTTAAATTCTTCTCTTAACCATGAATCTCGACGAATCATTTTACGAATCTTGAAATAAAATTTTTTCAAATCAAAGTTTCCAATCGATTTCGAAGGAGTTGTTTCGTTCAGTTAAATCTCGTTTCTCGTGGAGCAGGATCGTTCGGTTCATCAACCCCCGAGAAACCCGGGCGGATCGCGCGTCGACCTCCCCTTCGTCCTTGCCTTCCCCTGGTCTTTTCCGCGATGACGACGCGTTCAGGCGTCACTGTGCGCCTCCTTAATGCCTTTGATTTTCGTTCGTCGCCGAAAATAACGGAGTGTCGTATAGATAGACGCGAGAGAGCGCGGCCAGCCGAGATTCGGTGACAAAGCGGGCGAGCGAAAAATCTTGCTCCGTAGATTTTTCTTCGAGCGTTTGGTGCGAAAAGTCGTCCGTCGAAGACGATTCGATAGGAATAAAAAAAAATTTATAATGCTAAAAGATAAATTCTTTTTTCACGAATTGATTTTTCTATATCGATGGCATACCAGACGCGCGATAAAAGATGTGATTAAGTTTTTTTTTTTTGATTTTTTTTTCACTAAGATAAACTCTTCCACAACGTGTTTTTCATGAATGTGTATATCTATGATTAAAGTATTCCAGAATAAAGACGATCAGAGTTAGTCTTTTTAAAATTTCAAAATAAAGTTAATCAATAATAAACATTTATTCGTAACCAGTACAACCGGCCGTTTTCCCTCCACGGTTAATTACTCGATCGCTCGATGCTTTGAATAATAAACTACTCGTCGAACTTTTTCCTTATTCTTCAACCGGTCCGACTTGACTCGATTAAAATTTTGGCCACGATCGAATTTCTCGTTCAGCCTCAAACAGCCACCTTCGATCGCTTCGAGGTCATTTAGCTCGAGATCATTTCCCAGCCACCGACAAAATCGTGGTCCGTTTTCCCTCGGCAGAAACCCGTCCGAGGATCGAAGATTTCGCCGGGTAGAGAGAGTCTCGCCGGCGTCTCTCCCTCGAGGAAGCCAATAAATCCTCGAGAGAACGCAGACAACGAGGAGAGAAGAGAGAAACCCTTTACCTCTCTGCTTGCTCGAGCATGCTAACGAGACGCAACCAGGAAGAGACTTAACCTCTCTCTCTCTC